ATTTGTGATACTTCGGTGCATTTGCTCACGCATAAGATTTCTTCATGCTAATTATTTTAGCAGATATCGTCTGCTTTGATCTTCGCAAACCCGAACACCTGTTGTCCCGTTGATTACTTTTAATCTCTACCGTGTTTCGCTGCACTTTCCTGGCTGATGAGGCAATTAACCCAAAAGCTAGGCGCGGACGTCGTGGTTTGGTATTTAAAGCGCAGAAGCTTTAAGGATGCTCGCCGCCGATAGCGTCGAGTTCACCGTTCCAGGCCGCCGTCAAAGAGAACCATCTGAAAGTGGGTCCAGCGTTTTGGCGCAGTGGGCAGCGTCGCGAACAAGAAGCACGTCTTCGCCAGCACGCCAGAGAAAGAGCAGCTCGCGTACGGGATCATGGGTGCTTTTGAAGCGGACCCGCACCTGTCCACGAAGAGAGCGGCGAGTTTGTTTGGAGTTTCAGATTACACTGTGCGGCTGGATTCTTCGCCGACACAAACTGCATGCCTGCAAGGTTCACGTTCTCCACGAGCTGAAGCCTGAAGACTATGAAAGACGGCTCGATTTTTGCCGCGAAGAGATCCTAAGGATCGCGGCCAACCCCTCCCATCTTGACTTCCTTCTGTTCTCGGACAAGGCCGTCTTTCACCTCGACGGAAAAGTCAGCGCTCAGAACTGCCGGTACTGGACCAAAGGCAATCCGCGTTGGACAATAGAGAAGTCTCAGTATTCCCCCAAGATAACTGTCTGGTGCGGGATCTGGAGGGAGGGTGTTGTTGGGCTTTTTTTTTCGATTAGTCTGGTGACGGGCACAAGTTATCTGCGCATGTTGAATGAGGAGTTTCCTCCCGAGCTCGAGGCCCTCCACATGCAACGACAAGTTTGCGTATTCATGCAAGATGGAGCGCCCGCACACTGGTGGACCTCCGTCAGGAAATGGTTAAGTGACACCTTTCCTGGACGCTGGATGGGGAGAGGCTCGCCCGGCATGGCCAAGGCCACCGCAATCCCCTGACCTAACAATCTGTGCTTTTTTTGTATGTGGGTTCATCAAGTCACAGGTCTACACCGGCCGAATCTCCACCCTCGACATCCTCAAGCAACGCATTGAGGCTGCGTTTGTGCTCATTACGGACGAAATGAGAGCTGCGGCGTTTGCCGAATACGAGACGAGACTTGGACGTTGCACCTGGCAGCTGGGAGGTCACGTTGAGGCAGAACCGTAGGACTACGGTGTTGCCTTCCAGTGCCTGCCCCTGACGCGCTCCACATACTTTCATCTGGAAGCAAGAATAGCTTCCGCCATGTGCGTGGTCTTTCCCGTTTTTATTTCGTTTACCTCTGACAAATGGCCCTTTTTAGGGCTGCCAATTACGGTTGTCGGCTGCTGAGCTACTGCTGCTCGGCGCTCTCCCGTGTCTCTCCCATCTGGTGTCTCCGGACCATGGAAATGGTGAACCTGGTTCTTTGACGGGGCAGTTTAATTGTCCAGCATTTAATCTAAATACCAGCATAACAAAAGTACTGAATTGCTTTAATAATATTAATAATAATAAATTCGAACGTGTTCGAGACTTGACATAATAAGTAAACCGGGTCACAATGTCGCTGACTTGGCATCTTCTGCCTCTCCCTTTTTAAATTTTCGTTGCCAACAAAAATAGAAAAAAAAGAAAAAAGAACCAAGTACGCAAACATAAAAAACGGCACAGAAGTTAAAAAAGGGAAATATATTGGCCCAGCTGAAGTTCATCTGCAACCGAAAGGAGGGTCCTCTGACGGCGGAGCCCAAATATTGTAACTTTAAAAAAATTAATTAGGTTATAAACGGTTTATTGGCAGTGAGCAGACGTGGCCATTAGAGGAAGCTACCACGTCCATACCAAACTTCACATAATCTGCAGCACCAAGTGTCGAAGGTGCTACCGAACGGGAAGTATAGGTGCACCGCGGCGTTCGGGTTTGTGAAGAGCAAAGCAGACGACATCTGCTAAAATAATTAGCATGAAGAAATGTTATGCCTGAGCAAATGCACCGAAGTATCACAAATTAGAGCTTCTAATCTTTATTTCCGTTGCAGTGAAAAGAGGTGCGTAAGTGAAACTTCAGAAATGATAGAGAACAATTCCGAATTCGCCGTCAAGCCCGGCAGATGCCCGTGATAACCCGCCAACCTGCATAAGTCGTGGCGCCACCTATGCGACGCAACGCAGAGCAGACGGCCTTCGTCTGCGTCACTCCGCGGTCGGAGACTCCCCTTAGAGGTTTCTCGTTTTTTTTTTTTTGTTTTCATCTTTTGATCCAGGTAAGCTCATGTTCTGAAACTTTGGCATCTTGCTTGGACCGCTAGGGTTACATTCTGGCGGAGTTCGAGCGTTCTGCGATGCGTAGTTCTTTTTATGCGGGCTGAAAAGTAAGGTTTACTTTTCTCCATCAGACCCTGTATATTATTACCCCAATCTAAACCAGTGACAAGTACTAAAAATTATTTATTAACATGTTCTGTGATATTTTTACAAAAATGACTCAGTCAAAGTCACGGGGTTGCTTAAAGGGGATGAAACAATACATTGATTGGTGGTCACTGAGGTCCCATATCAGTTTACCCGCTTTGACACTGTCCGGGGATTCAAAGGCGAAGGATTGGTTTAAGGGTAGAAGTTAGTTTACTAGGCACATCAATTACGTTAGAAGAAACATTATTCTATCAGCTCCTCATTATTGGTACAATATAGGGCAGGCGTGGCCAAGCTGCGGCTCACGAGCCACATCCCGCCCACTTCCCCTCTCCCGCCTCCCTCCCGGTCACGCGAGCACTTCCCCAAAAAGAGAAATAGAACGCCTTTCAAATCGAAAGACAGGTTGCGGTTTGGTAGTCTTCTGCTCTTTCTACTTTGCGTACGGTGAGACTGCTTTTGAGTCAGATGGACGGAGAGTAGTTCGAGTTTCGCTTATTAATCTGGACAAAAGTTTGCCTTCCCCTCCCCTCCCCCCCCCCCCCCCCCGCCCCCGAAATTTGCAAAAGCCGTGAGGGGGGGGGGGGGGGGGGGGCACGGTATTTGCAAATTTCGTGGTTTTGTTTGCGACTTTAAGGCCGTGTCCGCCTGGCCACCCCTGATATACGGTTATGCGGGCTTATATTTATGCTATAATCACAGACGAAAACATTTTTAAATTTTAACACAATACTGGTTCCATAAAGCATCTCTATAAACTGTAGAAAACCGATAACTGATCGTGTCGGGGTGCGATATGCGTCGGCGATCAACATATCATGACTCTGTATAGCTAGTCTCTCAAAGCTATTATTTAATTTTATTCCTCGATAAGAGAGATCTTTCACACATACAAAGAGACACCTCCACCACGTGTTTCGAGCAGCATGCAGATATAGATTAATAACCTGAAAGCTGGACGCAGTCTTAACCAATTGTGAGCCAAGTTTAGCTAAAACTAGGTACAGCCACCGCGGGAGGTAGAAGCTCCACGGCAGCGCGCGCTTTTTCCGAGGGGCGCTTGACTGGTGGTTTATGATAGAACTAGAGATGACGTTAGGGCCAGTCCATGCGAAGTAGATGGGGGAAGCCGCCTCAATTCAAGCAAACCGTTGTTCTCATCCGCCCGCCTGCGCACCTGCGGGTGTTTGTTTGGCAACGAAACGGAAGGAAAATGAAGCGAACAAAACAAGGAAGTATAGTTTTCCCGTGGCACATGGGCGCGCGCTATTTTCGCTACTGGCTTGGAACGTCTACTCTGGCCTCAGCAACAGACTCTAGCCTCTGAACCGTGCCAGCGATTTCTCCGTGTTAACGTGTTCATAAAAAAATGTTACTGCCGTCGTCGACGTACGAAAATCGGGTCAGTGACGATGCAGTATCTAAGCAACACGCGTAGCGCGTTGCCCATTTTTGCATGACGTGGTGCACCCAGAAAACGACTTAAAACAATGCATGTGTCCCCTAGAGAAGCATGGGAAACCGGGCATGCGGAAGGCTGCCATTTGCAACATATGGGGGAGCCATTTGGTGACGCCTGTTGCAACCAAGGTGTGGAGAGAAAGTTTTTTGGAAGGTTCAAAGCACGCCATGTACACACCCGTATATCTCTTACAGCGTGGATTTGATAAAAAAATTGGCGGAAATCTCGGATTTTTGTTTTTAATTAACACGCGAAAACTTAATTTGACTATGCGGAATAGAGCAATCTCACCAGCCAGTATCGATATGCCTTTACTGCCGGCACGTATTGTGGGAACTGTAGTCCTTCTGCACGCTCGACTACCTGGTTCCGGGTCTACGCGCGTGTAGAGTGCAAATCGGCGCAAGATGATTAGTGCCTTGACGCCTTGCTCCTGATTTCTAAATTTATGGAGGAGCCAGACATGTGTGGAAGAGCTTTTAAGATCGGTCTATTCGATCTCCGTCCGTGAGATTGCGAACTCGAACTTAAATTTAAAAACTCGGAACTTGTTTATCGGAGAAATTTAAAATCTTCAAACTTTTCGTACATAATTTTCTAACAAACCAGAAATAGTTAAATTGTTAAAGCATGAGCTGGAAAGATGCATTAAATTTTCAAACACGAACTCTCGGTCCTATTCGACTACTTCAAACTTTTCATATTCGAACCGCAGCGGGATCTAAAGTTGGGAGCATTTTGGAGTTAACACCTGAAGTTGTTTGAAAGCTTCGAGAACTTCCGACCTCTAACCTACGAAGGTCCGCGACATCCCTAGTGACACTCGAAGGCGAGGACCGCCGTGACGATGGGCTTTTGGGGCTGTTTGACTAAAGCCACCGGATTGTAACATCGGTGGCGCCGGGGATTGTAGCGGAACGTAGTATAATTTAGGAGGCGTTTACTTATTATTTAGAGTGTTTCGGCAAACTGTGAAGTTCTAGCTTAGCATGGCTGCCTATAGCAAAATACACAAAATAGTAAAAATAATTTTATCTCCGCCTCTTTAGCACTAAAAAACACAATCATCAGTGAGAAGAAATCGTTGGACTTACCGTTTGCTGTATTCCATTGTATTGATTACTCTCGTTAAGCAGCGGAGAGGTTTGAACACGGCTTGAGCTCGAAGAAAGAGCGTATCGATTGCAAGCTGTACAAACATGGAAGCGGTGTAATGATTGTAAAAATGAATCTATAATATCGTCACGTGGTTCTCCAATATTGCTCCTACGCAGGGAGAGGGACGGTGTGATGAATTCACTGCAGCGTTTATCTATCGCAGATTGTGCTAGCCAACGCCACTTGCGCTCCAGGTAGGCGTAAACAAACCGCAGATATAGAGTGCACTATATTGTTTTGTTTTCTAGGCCAATTTAATTTATGCAAATTTTTATTCGACTGCAACAAATATTCATAAAGTTTACGTTCTCGTGGTTTGCTTTTGCTCAGGTTATTTGCTCGCATTAAGTGTTTGTTTTTCTCTTCTTGAAGTGACGAGTGACGTCACATTAAGAGACGTAACGTAAAGTGAAACTGACGTCGTGTTAAGCGACGTCCCTGACGTCACTAAGGTACAACTGTAGACATATCTTTAAAACAAAACAAAGAGGAAGCTTTCGGTGCTTTTAAACTGAAGAGAGGTACCAAACCCGTGTTCGGCAGATTTTCGTTGTCAGGTTAACGGCAACAGGCACGAACTGGGAATGCACTATCGCTTGAACCGGCAAGAGGAGTAGTTAGATGTGCCATCTACCACATTCGCCATAGGTTAATCTACATAAATTGACGCTCTCTAAATGCGTTTTTTTTTTTGTATGTCGAACGTGTGCAAGCCGCAAAAAGAAAAAAAAAAAAGGCTCCTGTGCTACATGACAGGTTCAGCGTAAAACAGGATCAGTCGTAAACTACAATCGCCCATCCGGCCGCATTCGAGCACAGCCACCGGTACACAGCTGGCTGTTGTGAGGGATGTTCGGTGGCCGGATGTGTTCACGTACCACGGGCCGTCTACGGCACTCTTAGAAAATGGTTGCTATGGAGACTCAGGTATCTGGGGACTTAATCTCAACCCTTTCGTGAGCGGTATATTTTCAGAATCATAAGTGCGGGATAAGGACCGACGAAAATAAATTGGAAATGATAAAATTTCCCTTCTGCACAACGTGTAGCTTTTACGGAGCAAAAAAAAACTGAATCCAGGCCAACGCCAGACCTTCTGCGCGCTCGACAAATATCGGTAAAGAAGGTCGACTGAAACGCAAGTTTAAATATTAGAGAAAGTCATTCGGCCTTCTATTATGTTGACTGCTGTTTAAGACAGTGCTTCAACGCTCTCAGACAGAATGAACGGCTTAAGCAAGCATTTCCGTTGGTTCCTGTAGTAATCTGCATGCGACTGCGCAATTTCCAAAATACTCTTGTCCACCCCCGGAAACATAAATGTACTATGACTGCGTGACAAACAAAGGTCCTGCAGGAAACCAAGATGTTTTCTCTGGAGTCAAATGCAACGGACATGTACGTCCACTCGAACAGCCGCAAGATGAACCCGGCATGACCTAACAAGGAACTTATTTTCCCCGTGAATTAAAGGACACAGTACGCTCCATGTAAAAAAGAGGTAATTTAGAACATTCCGTTGATATGTGGGCATTGCTACCTAGGGAAAACAAGACAACTTAACAAAGATCGTATTTTCAAAATCGCGGACCAGCATTTTCAAATGCGCGTTTTGCACCCGGCGCCATTGTAACTCATCAAAATACCAGGCTGACATACGGGATACGCCAATTGACAACATGATGAACGATTCAACGGGTGAGCCAGCGGTGGCGCAGGACGACCTATACGTCCCCGCTGGCTTTGCTTTGTGGCGAACTGTGTCGCTTTGCTTTGTCGTGAACTGTTCAAACATTTGTGGAGGACGGAAAAGCATTTCCTGTGATTTCAAATAAAGCTGAAGACAACTGGTAACCATGATTTGACGACACAATATGGCCAAGTGACGTTACTCTGAAGCGTAGCTTATTTAGTGGCACTACTTCCGACGTAACTGATATTTGATACTGATTTTATTAGAGAAATTCGCCACACATGTTTGTAATATTTTGTTTTGCTTGGATGCTTAAGGCCATATATTTAGATATAACTATATATAAACTATCGCACAAAGTGGATAAGGGCCCCTTTACTTCTTCAACGCACAATTGCTGACCAATATACAAAAGCAGGCTTCCCTGGTCTATGCGATTTCCTCTGTAATCAATCAGTCAACTGAGCGGACAGATTATATCTCAGATTTGTTATAAAGTTTAGTATACTAGGCCCACTAGGTGCCCATATAGTTGAAACAATAGCCGCAAGAGTCGCTCCCCTCTCTCAAAGTAGGACGCTCGTGTGGCAGAGGTAAGGTTTGGATAGGCAAGTGCTTTTTTCTTTTAATGAAAACGCGTCTATGTCACCCACCATAATTTCTGAAATGTTGAGACGTACCCATGCAAGATGTTTAATGCGTTGGAGATGTCCTTCCAACAGTTTTAACGGACAGACTTACCCTTTTAGAATTCCTAAAGTCTGTAAGAGACCCGTCACAGCCTCTTTGAAAGATCTGTGGTGTCTGTCCCAATCCTCTCCGTAAAACCACAACACAGGTCAAAATCGTTATAGCGGGATTGTTTTAAAGATTACATGGTCCATCGGGATATAGGCGTCGGTGAAGCCGCTTCGCCATTTCTGAATTGGGCGGCCACGACGTGTTTTGGACATTGAGGAGATATTTGTGTGCCTGTGATACAGTTGGAAAGGGAAGCAGGCGGTCATGGGTTTGGGCTCATATTCCCGTATGTAGCTGCCTGCGTGTCCGGTCGCCAGGGAAGTGACGGCGGGCGACCTCCCCATTTAGAGAAATTACGAGACGCCGGACGAGCGTCGTTGGGGGGCGAACGCAGGAGTCGCGATCCTGTCTGCTAGGTCGTATTGCGAGGCGAGATCCGTACGCGTGAAGAGCCCGCCCGCCGCATACTTTGGCACGGCAAAGGAGGGCTGCACCCGGCGGTTGAGTGCAAGGCCAGCCAGGCCCTCCTCCAGCGGTCAGGAGGAAAGAGTGTTACGAAGAATCCGAGGACGCCGGTATAGCCATTTTCTCTCCGGCAGTGGGTGGTTTGCTTGTTGTTACCGCCATGGATGTCTGGAGTGGACCGGTTTCCTCCACGAAGGATACCATGGCTTGAGGGCTCACTCCTTGATCTGTTTTGATCCGTCCGGTTTGTTCTCTGGCTACGCTGGTGAACCTGAGTGCGGCGTAGGCCGCCTTCAGCACCGCTTTTGTGTCATCGTCTTCGCCGCATTTCAGGAGGAGGTAGCCGATGCTAGGCTTGGGGCTCAATTGCTGCAACCCTCGCAGTCGAGGTCATCGTCTCACCACATGTAGTGCCTGCGCACCGCGTTCATGGTAGTGTGGTTCTGACACGGTGGATGACGGCCGATGTCCGGCCCTGTTTATTGCGGCGCTTCGTCCGTCCGGTTTCCGAGGCATTCAGCGAGCGAAAAAGATGCCGGAGACGCCGCCGCGACGACATCAGGGACAACACCGTGATTATGCTCAGGATTTCTCAACGGTGGCGTGTAGTGGTTCCGCGTTGTTCAGGGGACACATGAGTGATGAAAACGGGATCCACGCCGCAGCTCGCGGCATTACACATGGCAACCAGTGCAGGCGTCCCTACGTCACTGTGACGTACGCGCCTCGCGGCACGGCTCCACTCCGATCTGCTACGGTAGACATTCGCACGCGGTGCGCCCAGCGGCAAGCGGTGAAGAAGCACATAAGGCGACCGTTCGTTTGATCGGTTCGGTTTCGGTTCGGTGCTCTGTGTCTCAAATGTTCGCGTGAGCACGCCTGCGGTTATTCGAACTCCCAGGAATGACACGGAAGGTGTTGCGAAATCACCATCTCAACTAACAACAGGTCCGTCTTCACGAACAACAGCGGCGCCCAAAAGCGGCGGTATCACTAAGAGCGATATTTGTTCTGTTTTGGTGGTTTGAGTTCATAATGGGGAATTCGTTTGCCGGAATGTTAGGGCCAATGCCGATGAAGGAGTTAACTCGAGGGGTGTAGAGGCGATGCCGAGACGGGGCACTTTGTACAGGAAAGACCGGGAGACGAAGAAACCTGTTGTGTTTCGAATTTTACTGCTGGGTTAGAATTTGGGAGTCCGTTGGTAGGTACTTACTCTCATGCAGAATGTTTTTATGAAGCTCGGGGATTACGCTTTGTCACTGCTCATCTCAATGTTCCGGTCATAACACCTCACGATTATTGCAATCAGTGTGACTTCATCGGCATAAATTCAATAAATATTATAAGTGTACTTTTGAACGAAAGCGCCAAGTTTCGCATAAATACTGGTTGTTTCTCATACAGACGATTTGCGCTAGCATTTTCTGTACAATCTGGGCCTCTTCGGACCCCTCAATGCCTTCGTTGCGCGAGTCCCTCCAGACTCTGAGCGAACTTGGAAACGTTGCATTTTAACTTTTAAATGAATTTTTATACAGTCTACACAATATTTCATTATAACGATTTGATTTTTTTTCCATTTCAACTTGATCGTTTAGAAAAGAAATGTAAATAGAGCCTTGCTGGCTAGAGTTGTGAACATATGTGTTATGGTAGTGTTTTCGTGGACAATATTGCTTTAATAGTGATACAATGGTAGTACAAGAGCATTGCGCCAGTTTTATTTGTTTTATTTTCATATATATAATTCAAATTACATTTTGAGCATAAATAGTGCATTTAATAGCGTAGTACTGCCAGTCGCTGTACGTTCGGTGCCGATGGTGGCTTCCGAGTCGAAGGCAAGCGCGATAACCGTTTGACCACAGGCACGCGTTTTTTTTTTTTTTATTGCCGATTTCGACAGTGAACACAAACTCAACAATCGATGATAATTACAATGATAAAAACACGTGTACAACACATAGGGCTCGAGCATGAATGTTAAAATTCTCTCAAGTTCTCTAGAGCGTCCAATATTGGCACCCAGCCGGGTGGACGCTCTAACGTGGCGTACAGAGATTTCAGGCGTCGAACAGATTCCGTAAAATACAATCGAACAGGCCGCACGTCCACAGCAGCATGCCTTACAGCCATTCTAC